CCTCCCCCCTCCCCCCCCCCCCCCCCCCCCCCCGTCCCGAAAATTTTAGCGGGATGAAACATTGCTGCGTCTTGATACCACTATCGTTCGAATTACTGTATGTACGCCGTAATAGTCTTAATGCTCTAATTCATCTGTGCGTGAACATTTATTACCTTGGTATGCTCTTAAAACAGAAAAAAAATGTGGGAAATGTTGTCTGAATTTTCTTGGAAAATTTTCGTAAAACGGGAAAGATGGCTCGTTACAACGACGCGCTCCTAATTTAACTGGCTTTATCCCAATAGTAATCCAGATTTGCAATTATTTTTTCATTCATTCGCGCAGTGAAATTTCTGGTATAGATCCTCACTGCTGGGTTCCTGGAGCTGGAACACTTGTTAAAAATACTGTAGTTCACATCTTCTCCACCCGCAAATATTTGTAGACGACAGTGCGTTGGGTCGTTCCAAATAATCGCTGCCAGGCAAGAGTGTCTCTTTCTGTTGCGTACTTTTTTAAACATTTAAATTCGTCTCTTCATGAAAAGTTGTGCTGCGCATTTTTCCTGGTGAAATCCTTGAGGCTGAAATGTTTAAGCCAATATTTTCGAGGGGAAAGTAATGGCGCGTTTTTGGTTTGTTTATACTTGCAGCACTAAAACTATAAATGAATACAAACTGAAAGGCATTTGTGCAGTGAGAGATTTGCACACATTTATGCTGGTATCATAGTTGAGCAGGAAAACTTGCATCGAAAGCTCGTCTGAATGCCCCCCCCCCCCCCCCCCCCCCCCCCCCCCTCGCCCCCCCCCCCCCCCCCCCCCCGAAAAGTCTCGGACGGCGGGAAACTAGTGCATTACATCGTTAGCCCCCGTATTTGAACTCGCTGTAAACCAGGTGTGGGCAGGGGCCGAGTTTGGTTCATTACAGCGTGTGTCCCAGAGGTCAATGGCGGCTGGTGAGCCAAAAGCTCCTTTATGCAAGCAAGCGCCGAGCCCGAGTTCGCTTCGTGTCTCGTCGCGGGCGTCCGCGGAAGGGAGTTCGGAAAGTTGCGGGGAGAGACCTGATTTAACGCTGCCGGACGCCTGGGCTTTTGGACGAAACTTCGGGATTGCGAATTGCGTTCATTGCCCAACTTCGGTCGTGTTCGTGGTGCGAGCTGGATATTTTTTCCCCCAACTTTTTTCTCTTCGCGGGTTTGTGTGCCTGGTCCGGTGCGAGGCCGGGAAGTTTACCCAAGGCACGCCGGTTCCCGTGGTTGCAGTCGCTCCTTGCCCGCGTTGCGCAGGTGCTGAGTGACGTCACACGGTTTCATTTTTTAAATCGCGGTGTTGTGAAATCCTTCCTTGCATTCAAATCCTGTGCATTGTTTCGCTGTGCTTCACTCGCTTCCGAGTGCCGGAATATTCACCGGCACTTGAGCAATTGTGCATTCATCACTCATTTCAGAACAACTCCATCTGCAGTCATTGTACAATAATTGATTGTTGGCTACATTAGAAGTTCTGCCATATTCTGCTTATACCGTGGCGTATCCAGGTTGTGTTCGAAGAACGATCCTTTCCGCAGATGAACGAAGTATGAAACTGGATAATTGAAACGTTGCTAGAGTTTTATGCAAGCACTTCATTTACAATACTGATACACTCTCTTTAAGAGTTAATCCAGTCTAGAATGACACTCTTCATGCAACGTATTTTGCTACCTGTTTATTCATGCGTGTGGAGCTCAACTGCAACAAAATCAAAGGCAAAATTACATAAGATTCCTTTTACATCCATACGCAAATTTGATCAAAATTGAACCAGTGCAAAATTTGTTTTATGTGGAATATCGCTGCGGAAGAAATTATTGCTGAGATAATCATCCTGTATGATAATTTATGGGGCCCGGATTAATGCTGAGAGATGGTATACCTCACAAGAACGTGCGTATTTTAATAATTTAGTGGTCGAGTTTTCCCTAAAACGCATTCAAATGCTGTACAGTACTGTGCTGTTCTTTGTTTGATGCTGTAATCAGGAATGCGTAACATCTGCAGATATACAGGAAATTCTTGCTGTAGAATAAGCTTCCACCCCTGCATAGCACACGCTTTTCGGCGGAATTTCTACTTTTTTTTTGCTGTCAATGGATTATTTTCTGGATTCGCTGCCCAAGGATCCATTCGCAGAAGTGCTTGGCGTTTGTTTCAAATGGTTACTCCAGTCGTAATGTCCGAGCTTCGTGGCTTTTCAGATAAGATATAATGATTCAAATTGTTCCGGGAAGCCAAGCTTCAACCTTCCGGTTGGTTCTTCGGCTCCAGGTTGAGCTCAAATAAAAGTTACTCTTCGCGCGGCGAGAATACTGTACTGTACGTGCTTTGATGGAATTCGAGGGAAAGCCGGGGGAGCTCGGGCGAGTAGCCGCACACCCTTACTCGCGCAGGAGCGATTGAACTTGGTGCGAACTGCGCACGGACAATTTTTTTTCTTTTTCAGATTTTTCCTGCTCCAGTTAGTTTGTGTCGTGTTGCTTGTTATTCGCCGCTTGGTTTCTGTGACATTGACCGATGTGACGCTGATTATTTTTTTTCAGGAGTTACTGAATTGCTGGAGTGCATCGGCAGACTCCAGCATCAGCTACGAACAAAGCACCGGGATGCGCCGGAAGTGAACTTGTCATCGTTGCAGCAGCTCGTGAAGTCGGAGGATTTTCAGAAGGTGCTTGCAGTCCACAATAAGGTACAATCGATATGGTGCCTGGGCTGTCCGCCGACGCCAGTGTCTGATGACATCCAAGGCCTTGTGCAAGAGGTGAGCTTGTTGGCGGCTGCATTCGGAGCGAATGTGATCCCGTCCCTTGTTCGTGTGGCGGGTTGATGCCCTCGTGCTTTGTGTCGAGATTCACGGGAGGTTGATTTCACCGAGTCACTTTCCGCTGTACATTACCTTACTTGTACTAACGAAAACTTTTATTTTTTGCTTTGCTGCGTACCGTCCCTCCCCTGATTTCCTCCTTCGTCTTTCGAGAGAGCCCTTGCAGTTTTTCCGAAGTCCGCGGTGGTGGACTTCGTCCATGAAGCCCTACTCTTTCCCTCTGCAAATACTGCTGGCGTTAGATTTTTCTATGAAAACAGCACCAGTTCTCCTCCTTTACTTGCCTGTGAATTTCTGCTTATCGCGTTTGAAGAGTTGGGGAAAATAGTTTTCCGAATCCGGATTGCAATTCGCGTGTGTGCAAAATCTCAGTGCAGTATTTATCCGTTTTCACTCAATCGCCTGTTTTGTCTGAGAATGTGAATGTCGATTCTATGCCAGTTCAAACAGCGTACTTTGGAGGCCTAGCCCATTTATAATACTGTTCAGTCAAGAAAACTCAATCCAGATGCTTGTTCAAATCGAAGGGTTAATCCTAATTTATTTAGTTGGCCGATGTTGATGCGCATTTTCCGTCATGTTGATCGTGTGATCACAGAAGAGGCGAGCGGTTTATGTGCTAACCCTTTTAGGAATCGCTATCTGAAGACCTAGTTTTTCCTCTGTAACAAATTAAAATTGTGAATTACTATAATTTTTTCGGTTAACCGTGGGTGCTGATAACTTTGCCCAAGATTCAAGACATACAGTCATCCTGGAAGCTTAGTCATCAACTGGACTTTCCATTTTTTTCTCACATTTTTTATTGCTGGCATATTTTTATTTTAAGGAGCCTGGAATGCGTATTACTGTAGATTTAAGGATAGATAAGTAATTTGGAAGGTGATCGTGGCATTTTAATTCGGGAAATTTGATCTATCAGAATTACGTATCCGGTCAATAGCTATGATAATTGTGGTTCTCCATGCGTTTTCATATTTTTTTTTTCAAAACAGGATCCTTAGTAGCAATAGAATCCCAGCCTAATCTTTTCCTTTTATTTTCTTCTCAAAGGTTTGAATGATTTATTCCGCTGTGATGTGGTTATGTTGTTTTATTGCTAGTAGCAAATTACTTTACTAGGATTGCGTCGCACTCTTAATTTAGAAACCCTTGCTTCATCGTCTCTTGTGTGGATGCCGTGTTGGGAACTTGCCAAAACTAATTACTGTCGTAGTACTTGCGAAGTGGTGCAGCTACGGTGGCTGAAGATGGAAGCGTGAGCGTCACGGCGGTGCTCGGATTGCGCTAATTTATGTTCCCGCAGAATCAAGCATATACTTGTCGTTTTCCATTGTTTTATTTATCCACTTGAATGGGTCGACGCGCCGCAGTATCTCATGGCAAACGGTTGGGTAAATTGCAGCACGTACTGCGTTTCGCAACACCGGGAACGAGCGGAAATGGGGTCGGGAATCGTCGCGGCTGGAATGACGTGTTTGTGTCCTCGCCGCATGTTCGGCCAAGGACATTTAATCCACCTCTGTCGTATTTTTTTGTTATTTCCAGTGCGTGGAAGCGTTGGAAGAAAGCGGCCTCCCCGAGGCTATGAACTTGGTCTCTGTGCTCCACAAGCACGACTTGGTAGGTCTGACAATGGCACATGACGAGATTGCCAGGCGCGAACCGCTTCCTCCCGTGTCGCCTGAAGAGGAGCTGCTCGATCGGGCGTCTCAGTACCCCGAATCCGACAGCGTGAAAATCGTGAGGATTGAAAAGACGAACGAGCCGCTGGGCGCCACGATCAAGAACGAGGGCGACGCCGTGGTGATCGGCCGGATCGTGAAAGGCGGGGCGGCGGAACGGAGCGGTCTATTGCGAGAGGGCGACGAAATCTTGGAGGTCAACGGGATCGAGATGCGTGGGAAGAACGTCAACGAAGTCTGTGATATTCTCGCGGCCATGACTGGCACGCTCACTTTCCTCATCTCTCCCTCGTCCCGCATCGACCGGTCCCACATTCGCACCAATAATGAACCTGTGGTGAGCCTCTTTCCAGCCTTTCTTTCCACTTATCCCCAACTGTTTCTATTCCATCTACTGCAATAAGACGGTGCTTCTAAACCAGGTCTTTTAGGGTGTGGTAAATTGGTACTGTACCATTGGAGGCAAGTAGAGGCTCCCACACAGAAAAACGGAAGAAGATTCTTTCTCAAAACACGCCACAGAAAATCCCGATGAGCAGAAATAAGTATTTAGAATGCGTGTCGCGAGGGAAATTTGAATCAAGCACAATTTGGTCGATCCTTTATTTGAGTTGAAGCCACAGATAATGACTGGTACGCAGGAGCTATTGTTAAATATATGAAAACATTAAGAGACTTTATCCGAAGTAAAACTTCCAGTCGATGGTACGCCTAATCGTCCGTTTAAAAATTAAGAGAAAAAATCTCTTGAGGGTTTCGATTGTTGAATTTGGATTCCTGTTCTCATAGTCTCGAGTTAAAGCCAGCTGAGGGAGGAATTGAAATTAGGTTTCAGAAAACGAAGCATATGAGGCTTGAATGAAAAATGATGTTGAGCTACAATAAAATGCTGGACTAAAATTAATTACTGTATATACGTATACGTCACACATGGTGCATCGACATGGGCTCTTTTTTTCGCGACAAGATATTTTTTATTTTCCACTCTTTTGTAGCGTTGATTTATGATTCAACGAATAGGTATGAAAGACATTTTTTATGTGAACAAAAAGATTCTTTGTTGGATCAGATCATAGTATTCAAACGTATCGGACCGAATCGCCTCGCGCAACGCCGACGGGCGGATGACAGCAGTTTCCGTCATGCATTCGAATTGAACGTCGTTCATGGAGATACATTTATTCGATATGGAGCATGGCGAATTACCTTGTATCCCCCAAACGTTATTTGAACCACCTTTCCTGCAATTGTTCTATTGGTCTCTTCCGAATTTTGAAGCTCTCGACCCTATGGTTATATTGTATCATTATCTGTACCTCTGAACTTTACTCGGTTGTCGTAATCAGCTTTTTGCGTTAAAGTTTTCTCATACGTTCCTTCTACTTGCTGTTCACCGTATTTACGCAATTGTGTGGCACGTCGTGTTTCTAAGCTAAATTCAAAAAATGTAAGCGCCGAAACTTAGTTTAAAAAGAAAATTGTGGCTTACACTTCATTGTAGAAGTATAGTACAGTAGTATATTTCATGGAATTTCGTCGGGGTATTGCCTTGGAAATTTGAATCGGATGAATATAACCTTGACTGCATTAAAATTATTTAAATTATACTGAATTGACCAAAAAAAGGACCAAGAAATCACCTGGTGCTGAATATATTGGTGCTTTTCCTATGACAGCAATGCTACCTTATTTTGCCCAGCAAGTTGAAATTTCTTCGTCCACATAATTTCGAGAATAGGCTGCACCTTTTAGTCTCCGACGGGTATTTTTATCTCTATCAATTGCCGCGCCGAATCTTTTTTTTTTTTTGTGACAAACTAAAGTGTGTCCTATTAGTATAAAGGTATAGTATTTATAACTGCAGTATTTCTACTGGTCTTTTGCCTCGACTGTTAAAATATTGACTGTCATTGACTGTCCCCCTTCACCTATGGTGGGTAGCCGTGTGAAATTCCGTCATGTTGTGCGAGTTCTGGACATTCCGCATTCGAGTGACCGTGTGAATATTTCCACTGGGTTTTGCCTAGTTCGGCGCGTTTCCAAAAGCAGCCTTGAAGCGAAGAATTTCCTAATTGGGACTGAGTAACTCCCTTTTTTTCGATGCACACATGTAACTACGTTTTCTGGCCTTCGATGTCGACCCCATTTGGAGAAATAAGTAAAAGGAAAGTACTGCACTGTACACAGGCAAAGGTTTCTGCCCACGATTCCCGTGCGTTGGCAAGGAAAGCCGCAAGGATTGCATTGTGATTCAGTATCTTGATTGGAAACAAGCAGAGCCTCATGTTGTGTTCCTTTTTCGTCGACAGATGCACGTCAAGGCGCATTTCGATTACGATCCGGAAGAGGACTTGTTCATCCCGTGCCGTGAGCTGGGGATATCATTCCAGAAAGGCGACATCCTTCATGTGTTGTCTCAAGAGGATCCGAATTGGTGGCAGGCGTACCGTGAGGGGGAAGAGGATCAGTCTCTAGCTGGACTGATACCTTCCAAGTCCTTCCAGGAGCAGTGAGTTTTCATCTGCTTTTGTTCGTTAAGTCGCCTGATACACAACTCACCTAACACGAAAATTTTTTCCCTCTCTTTTTGCATCCTCGCGTCACCGCAGCATTGTATCACTTAGGTATGTCTTGCTTCTTATTCGGGGAAGGAATTCTGTGTTGGTGCAATATTTTAGCTCGTGGTATTAATTCCTGGGTGATGGTGAACCATTGATTGTTTGTTTTCCTCCATAGTGATGCATGTAAAATTACTTTTGATCCCAGCGGTTGCATATTTATAGCTGCGATTTGCATATTTATTGCAGACAAGAGACGCTTAAACATGCTCAGTTCGAAGACGGCAACAATCGCAAGTCGAAAAAAGGCACAACGTTGTTGTGCGCCAAGAAGCACGGGGCTAAGAACAAGAGGAAAAAGAAGCTGTACTCCGCCGCCAATGACGGTTAGTGACGCTTGAGCGGCGCTTAGAATTTTATATTTTCATTTGATTTTGTTTTATGCAGATTTCGAACCGGATGAGATCCTGACTTACGAAGAAGTTGGGCTCTATTATCCGCGAGCGAATCGCAAGCGTCCGATGGTCCTTGTTGGGCCACCTAATATCGGGCGTATGCAGTTGATGCAAATGCTGATGGAGCGGGATTCGGATCGATTCGCAACAGCTGTGGCCCGTGAGTGTAGATTTTTTCTGCAATATCACATCATTTTCCCCCCGCATGCGATCAGTACCTTTGCTGTATATGTAATTCTAATTTTTTAATCATTGCCGTTTTCCCAAAATCTCTGCTCTACAATTTGCCGAAAAAGACTCGGTAAAGTGAAATATTTTAAATCGAAATAATTATTTGTTATTTTTATTAAAGAAATAATAGATGTCTGGGGAAGACATGAGGACGCTGTAATTTTGTACCGTGTCATTCCAGGTCCTATAATTGGTTCCTAGTTTCTTAGCGAACAAGCGTTATCACGACGGTAGACCGGGTTCTGGGTTCAATTTCTGTAAAATGCTTGGGCCAGTTATTTGTCGGCAGTTTTCCTGCTCCAAATAAATATTTATGCGTGGACCTCTTGGCGGTAAATTTTGATTTTGAACGTCTGCGTACTCGTATCATTCACACGAAAGAAGCTGACTAACTATTCAACTGTGCAAAATTAATTTGGACCTGTACTCCGTACCCATTTTTGTGTCTACTTCTGTGGATTCACGAATGGCTGGCCCACAGCGGAATTCTTTCCATAATGACATGGTCCCCTCAGTATTTGGCAGGGAGAATCTACCTGTAGTACTGCATAAGAAGTTAGGAACACAGTAGTTCGTCTGTACTCGAACAGTTCGTGACTTCGATTTTGGATCGTTGATTGTAAGGAAATCCCCTTCTTCGATTGTTAGTGTCCGAGTACTGCGAAGATTCGTGCCCGTATTTTCATACTACGTTGCAATATAGTGGTCATTTTTTCGATATGAAAATGTGTATTTTCTCATTTTTGGCAGACACGAGCCGTCCTCGAAGGGACGGCGAGATAGACGGGCAAGATCATCATTTCATCACACGCGCCCAATTCGAGTCCGACATTATGTCAAGAAAATTCGTTGATCACGGAGAATACGAAAAGCATTACTACGGAACGAGCTTGGATGCGATTCGAAATGTCGTGAGCACTGGCAAGATTTGCGTCTGTAGCTTTCATCCACAATCGCTGAAGAATCTGAAGAACTCTGATCTGAAGCCGTTCGTGGTCTTCATAGCTCCACCAAATCTGGAAACGCTAAAGAAAACTCGTCAGAAAATGGGGCTTCCTTTCAAGGTGAGTTTTAATACAGAGCAGAAATTCGGAATATGTGTTCCCGTATGGTACTGGGGCCCAGCGGCCACTCAAAAGAAAAAAGAGATCAGAATGGAATGAAATGAATTAATTAAACGGAGGGATACTAGAGAAAATTCGAAGAAGTGTCTGTTACCCTGTGAAGAATAAAATTCAACACATTAAGGTGATGAAATAAGTACTGTATCTATTTTCAAGAAAAGGGCGCCTTCATGGAATTTCTTCAGACAAGGCTACGTGAGCCAAAACCGTTGAACGGCAGGGCTAATATACCGATATATATGGAAGATGAGTTGAGGTGGGAGGATTATGATACAATGCCTTTTTTTGCAGGACGAGGAACTGAAGGAGGTAGTTGTAAAGGCTCGGGAGACGGAGAGGAAGTATGGGCATTACTTGGATTTCACGTTGGTGAATGTTGATCTGGAGAGAACTTATCAGCAACTGATCCACGAGATAAATGTGATGGAACGAGAGCCACAGTGGGTGCCAGAAGCGTGGTTGAAAAATGATACGGATGCTACGTAGTGCTTCTAGGCTTTCGGCAATCATGCTGATCGCGTGCTGCTGCAGTTACATTTCACGTATTCTGACGAAGACTCCATTTCAAGCGGAGACGTTACAAGTAGCGTGCGAAGTATACGCTTAACGCCGAATCGAGCAGATCCTCTTGGTGGTTTTTATAATTTATTCAATGTTTTGTTGCGCGTCTCCGCACTTCCCGAGAAATTCTAGCCCGGCGGCGTTGGAAAGACGGGATTTTGATAGCTCTTCTCCCCCGATTTGATTGTTGTGTAGCTACTGTGAAAAGAAGGGAGAGATGAGCCGCGTATTTATTTTTTTGTGCCACGCTCGGTTGTTCTTTTGGTTTTGCAAACCAGGCGTCGTCGAGCGTACGTGTTCCTCATTGCAACTTGTGCTGATCACTGCTTCTGCTGCTTCCCCGTTTGGCGAATGGATTTGCTCAACTCCATCGCGGTTCGAGCGCGAAAATATGAGGATCTGGAATCATCGGGGTATTGAGCGTGGAGCAGCGGTGACGAAAGATTTCAGTTTTTATAAGCGCGAGAAGAAAATTACGCATTTGTTCTTCCCTTAAAGAAATGCATGCGTGGAATCTGTTGGGAATTTTCGGAGGATATGGAATAGAAATCTGAGAGATATATATATTAGTATAGGTTTGTTGTGCCATCATTGATGCTGTGCGCTGCTGGTGTGGAGCGATCCTTGTCTGTGGAATTACGCGTCATGCATGATTGTTGCTCTGCGCTGACAGTTTTTCGGAAGATTTTACGCCGGTTATTTTTCTACCATGGCTGCCAACTCGATGTGCGCTGGACCTGCGAAGATAGCCAGGATTGCATGTCATGAAAATTTTGGGTGATCATTACTATTCCTGCGGCGTTTCGGCACGTGGATATTGCATGTATAGTTGTTACAGTTTAGTTGCTGCAATGCTCAGTTCGCCTTTCGTTGTTCTCTTCCCCTTGCACGGCGCTTACAGTCAAATCAAATTCACATGGTGCCCGTTTCAATTCTGCGCGTGTGACTGTCCCGGCTGAGTGTTGGATTTCCAAACGAAATTGTTCAGAAGGGAATGAAGAACATCTCTTGCGAAAAACGATCGCCTTGACATTCATTTTCACTTTATTGCCTTTATTTACGTGGTATTATAATCATTCGTCCGTTATTGTGATGTGTGTGCAACATGCAGTAGAAACTTGAACAGCGGTGTCGAAAATCTTGGATCTGACGTCACCCTTGCAATCAAGCTCCGGAATTCGACGATGCAGTATTCCATGCAGGTACAGATATTGCAATGTTTTTATCGCGATTTCATACCTCGAGGTCCTCAGCAGCGCTGGGCACTGCTCCTCTCAAGAAATTAGTTAAATTTTTCCCCGGTTTCTATCGAGTAAAAATTTCGGTGGTCGTCATTTTGATTGCTGACACTTTATTTATACTTGATATCCTGGAAACATGTCCTCAGGCATGCTTACGTATGCATCCTGAACGTAATTGTCAGGCGTACTCCCTTTTCAAGCGCTAGCTGCTTGGGATGAAAATGTGACGGGGAGAAAATATAGATGTCGCTTGAACGTTGACTTCGCAATTAGAACATCTTTCATAAATTGTCAGAAAGTAATTTTATTGGAACATTTTCATAATTTTCAGCAAAGATTAGTCACTGGAATCGGTTTGGTGGATGCTGTTGGAAGTGTATGCATCATATACGGTACTTCTTATGACTTCTTCAAAAATGGAATGTTTTCTCTATTAAAGATGCCCACGCAATTAAGTCACCAGTTCACCACAATGATTTTGCCTTTTTCATCTCATTTCAATCATGGTGCACAAGTACAGCACAGTTTTAGTCAGTTACAAAAAAATTCTGCATCTATCAGCGCTCTTGTTGACTGTTTTGTTTTTATCTTGTCCTTTTTTCTCCTCTTATATTATTCCAGCAAAAATGAACTTAATGATAAAGATGAAATCTGCAATTCGGTGTGATAGAAACCTCCTGAAGTAAACGTTTTTAGGAAAAAACCCGACATTAAATTAATTTGAAGTACAGGGACTAAAGTAAGCAAACCAAAGGAAATGGATACAATCCTTCCACTAATCTCTTGTCCTGTACATTGAAAATTATTTAACTGTCAATGCAACATTCTGTGATGTTGCACAATTTATGCAATTTTTCGGTGAATACATGTTTCAAGAGTGCTCTTATTGACGCATTTTTTTATTCCGATACACTTTACCTGCGAAAAAAACCTTCAAATTTTGAACGTCCTTCAGTTTCCTAGCTGTAAAATAAGTATACACTTTTCAAAGAAAGTTCGGATCTCGGACACGTGAGAGCAATTTAAAACTTGAAAACGGCCTCCCATATAGAAAATCATAATCGATACTTACACCTCCGAGCATCGAATGGTCAACTCCAACGATACCTTGTAAAATTATGCTATTCCACTAGTCAACAATATACAGTAATCTGAGACAAATACTTTCAGGAAAGTCCGATTTACTTCCATCGTACGTCGTCGGCTGAGACATAGAGTTTTACATGCATATACAATCAACATCCACAACAGCAATGCTCCCGACTTTTCCGCCTTTCGAATGTTCAGATTTGTCACCGAGAACACGTTGATTTTGAAACAACGCTAGCTATAGCCACATCGAGAAGTGGGAGCAGTAAGTTAACTCATCGACATCATGATACAGTACAAGGATTCAGCTGCACTAACAGGAGACACAGAAATCTCCGCAGCGGGTATCCTAGCCCCACTAAATTCTAATTCGGAAGTTTGGTTTCACGACGATTATCAGCGAGAAAAACGTCAAAAGCTGAACGTCAAATTACATTCACGGCACTCTTTCGGAAAATAAATTGCTTCTTTCACTCGCAAAAAAGTCTCTTCCAGAAAAAAAAAGTTCCATGACGAACAATGGAACATTTGTATACAAAGTTCCGGTGATGACACGCATTCGAATGCCATTTCTTTCTCGCAGGATTTTTCTTTTTGTTAAAGAAGATATGACGTCTCGTTGTCATCACTAATCCAGCTAGCGATGGAATGAAAATATTTCGGATCGTACCCAGCATATGTCGCGGAAGTGTCGGCTCCTGTTCATCGCCCCGCAGTATTTCCGAAGCGCGGAGGAAAATGTCGGAAATAATGTCTCAAAAATAAAGCTCAACCATCTCTGCAAAAAACTATAATGCTGGTCTTCACGTTTTTCTCTTTGCTGGCGTCAAGCGGGGGTAGAACACGGAGAAGTGACGGTGTCATTAAGAGAGCCCCGAACATCGGCAGAAGATCCCGTGAAATATCGCGCGACGTTTCCTCCCACTCTCGTCATTCGAACGCCCGTGGGGGAATCCGATACACATCGCCAATTTCCTCAGTTTCGGCGCATGTTTCGCATTTTTCTGTCCCCGTCGGTCGCATTTAGCGCGGGAGGAAATATCGGAACTGACGGATGAGATTGTTCCGCCGAGGAGCCCATTTGTTGCGCACTTGTTTCAAAGCGAACCATACACCTAACGCGTACCATGAGTCGTCCGCCCCGACATTTCTGCATTCGTCTTCCGCGCGGAAAACGAGATCCCTAATGCAGGGCAGAACAGGAGGAGTAATGCTGCGGGGAATATCAGCAATTACCGGTTTCTCCGGCGTTTCCGGAAGCGATCCTTCTCCAAGGGGTTTTGCAAAAGTCGTGCGGATCACCTGCAAATCGTCACAGCGCAAGGGGATGAAACATGCCTATCATTTTTCATCGCGTTACCGTGGGCTTACGATGAAAAGTTTTTCACAGAAAAGCTGAAAAATAATGTTAAATTATCTTTTGCCTTAGGAGTTTTTTCTTTTTCAAGACTTCCGGGGTGGTCTGTATCACACTCCAGAGAAAATGAACTACATCCTATGCCTATTCGTGGGTGGCTCATATAAAAATTTTCCAGGAAACTGTTGCCAGTTATTTGTTTTAAATAAAGACTGCCTTAAAATTAAAATCTCTCGAGCCAAAAAGTTATCCCCTTCGTGAATGCAGCTGCTGATGAAGACAGGAAAATCTTCGGAAATTGCCGGCCCAAATCCTAGAAATTTCGACAACATAATGGAAAGCGTGCAAATTTCAGAGAGTTCTTCTGAATTCTCCCGACTAATTGAGATTACAGGTTCTTTTCTGATGTGAACTTGAACAGCTGATGCGATGACACTTTTTTTCCACACGTAAACGGAAGATCGGCAAAAATTGAATTTTTGTCAGGTTTCATCCACCTTCAATGAAAATTTGTAGATTATTCGCAGGACTTCGGCGAAACCTTTGATACCTTCGGGAGAAAATGATCCTCATCTTTCTGAGTCTAAGTCTAGACGCAATGCCGCCGCTGAAAATAACGGCGCCGCTTACAAAAACGACTCATGTTCCCAGGCTGTTAAAACTGGCTGTTCAATCAAGGCGAGGAACACGCTTTAAATCAATGCGCCAGGGAGGCAAATCGCGCGGAAAATAAACATTATAGCCGGTGCTGAGCACTCCTTTTGATTCTCCCTCCAAGCAATTCCATTGAGCATGCGGCCGCACATGAAAAGAAAAAAATCCGGCTTTCAAGTGGGGATGAGATGGGGGTTCTTTTTTTTCGGATACGGGAGCCGAGCTTCTCCTCATTGCTATAAGAGCGAACACGTTTCTCACCTGCACGCTCAACCGACTAAAGTTACCCACACGATCAGCACAAACTATCAATTCCATTTTCTCCTTGTTCCACGCGCACCGCAATTTCTTCCATGAACACAAGAGAACACTTCAACCCGGCTCTTCGGCCTTGGGTCGCTAACAATTACGCGGTTTGGCCTTGCACCGAATGGCCGCGGAGTTAATGAATGACACGTCGCAACCAGCAACGTTTGTCCAAGCGTATCGTGCCCCAGAGTCAACAAAAGGTCGACTAAAAAGAATAAGAACCGACATTGTAACGTCGATGTATTTTTCAAATTATCCCTAGAAAAGCGTCGTTCCCGTTTCCCTCGCTAACGCTAAAATACGAACAACGAGTCGTGTCACCACGTCACATCGATATTCACACAAAACACACTACACATACATTGTTTGAACAATGAAATGGCGACACGAAGTAATGCAAACAAGACTTGTTGTAGTATCACTTTCCGGGGGAAATTGAATACGATAATGGCACAATATTTACTCTTGCAAAGCGCATGTAGAGATCAAAAGGCGAGATTATATGGTTAAGATTTCCTCAAGATAACTTCATGTATGCCTTTGAAAAAATTGCGTTCTGCGAAACTATGCAATGTAGAAAAAAGCCTAAGGCGAAAACATTGACGATGGCCTAGAAACGGCTATTTATTCAGGTTAACTCTCGATGATTTAACGGTTTGGCAGGCGGTTGATTGCAAGTCTGAAAAAATAAGGTTTGGGCGAAAATCTTGCCACAGGAAAAGCACCCAGGCGCATTTTTATTAACAGATTTCCGGGCTAGGTTGTTCAAGTATCGGTTTTTTTATTGACAAATTCAATCTTCTCGCTTTTAACATTTTTTTGCGACGTTTCGGAGGCAAAATCCAACTAAAACATTCTCTGGGGCCTAGCAGATAATTTCGTGCCACGACGTTGAATTTTGTGCCGTTGGCAGTGTAAACGAAAATGATTGCGTAAGTAGGGTTTAATGCGTGGTATGTTTCTGAAAATAATGACATCGAACATGCATTTCAGCTTTTCGTTATTCATAATTTTTTAGTATTTTATTTCTGTTCATTTTGGCTGCGGAATTTTTTCGCTTCACCCTTATATATCTTGGACTCTCTTGTTCGAAGCTCGAAAACCAGTTCATGAGAAAAATGTGTTCCAAAGAGCAAATATCTTCAACAGTTGGCTGTCAGCGATTCGGGAATTGCCTGATTTATGCGTTCACTATCACTGGAAGGGGATCGCGACTGATACACACCTCCGCTATTCCCAGCAGTGGCCTCACAACGGCGCTCGCGGAGGTTCACTGTCCAGTACTCCGGAAAGGTCGTGATAAATCGGGGAAACTATGTCAGCACATGGAACTTCTGCTGGCATTACCCAGTCTACTTGCTTTCACTGAGCCCGGAAGAACCCACTAAAGATGGCCACTGAAAAATCGCGTCGACCCAAGTCGCATCGGGGTCGAAATTATCCGGCGGAACTCGCGTGACTCCGCGGCGTTAGTCCTTCTCAGCGGACTCGGCTTCAGTCGAGCACTAATGCAGGATTCAGAACAACGCAACAAATACCAATCGGAGCAGAAGAATACAGCATTGGAAAAAGAATCGCCAGCAATTTTGTACAGTACAGTGAAGTGTATTACAACACTGACGCACCCTCATCGACCGTCGACTTACGCGAAGAACTACTTAAAGCCTCTTAAATGACTTTCCGCCGGATTTCGCCCGACGCGTTGAAATTAAATGGTACTCGTCCGCATCTCTACCATCACTCGAACTGCTCTTCTTCCTTCGTGTCATCTCTCAGAAACCACCACAGTTCTTATACCGGACCGGGTCCCCGAGGAAAGTTATTCCGATCATGTGTAACCGTTTTTATATTCGAATCCATAGGGCGACATGTCTCTAATTTTATTGACCCAAAAAGAAATATATTTTGCCTGAAAATGTAAGAAAAACTTCACTAAATCCAAGTTTCACAAATCTGAGGCTTCTTTGGATCTACTCATGCTTCAGATACAAGGTTAAGCTACACCAACACTCCCAAGGTAAACTCTCCATTGTGTAACTCTTGCTGAACTGCTGAAAGTGATACAGTAATAAGGATAAAAATAAGAGTCCAAGAATAATGTTATTGAAAATACTGTATTGCTTTGCGTCGCTATCAACCAATCGCTTGAACTGAGAATGAAATTTAATACGTTGTGCAACTAAACCATGACTTTTCAACCATTTTTCGTAGAAGAAAGTGGGCATAACATTTGAGTGAGAACCTCGTGGACTGACTATCAGACACCAATAATAATGAGGTGCGTATTGTTTTTTTTTAATTTGAAAGGAAAATATAATGAATAAGACGCAGTATCATCAAACATTTCTCTAAAAATCTTAGCAGACGAAAATATTCAGAGCATATAGTCGAGTTAACGAGTTAATGTTGTATGCACTTTCCACATAAATCAAGGATTATACCTTCGATTCAATTTTCAAATTTCTCGTGAAGCAGCCGAAGATTTTGAAGTGGATTCGCTTAGGTTATTTTCAGTCTTCCTTGATTCTATGTAGCATACTTTTGGCATGTATGTCGTATAAGCAATCGAATACAAAAAACATCATGATTTTTGTTCGCCGATTTATTCAAGCAGGATAAATGTATTATGTTCATGTAGGTACGGTACTCCAGAAATGCCCACTGCCATCAAAAGACATCCGACCTCTATGTTATGATTAAATCTCGAAGAGTTGAGGGAATTAAATTGGGGCCGCGTTGAGAATTGTAAGAAGCCCAGGACCCTGGTTTTCCCCTCAATCCCGGGCAGGCATGAAAAGGGGGATCCTCTTCCTTCCCACTATTTCAAAAACCGACAAGCCCCTCGGACGATAATTCGGCACCATACGGGTACAAGCCTTGGGATTCATTTTTGTGCACCAGCTGAGCATTGTGTTCTTATCAATCTCCTCTGGAGACGATCCTGGAAACAAGGGACTTGGAGCGACTCTCGCGCTGGGCGAATAAGAGAAATTGTAAATGAATCCATGTATGCCAAGACTATTCGAGATAAAATTAGGGTAGATCTAACTTTGAGGACGCTCTGGTGGCACCAGCGAGACTCCGTTATATTCTCGACCATGAGTCGAAAGTGCATACCCTGGAAAGCTCCGAAAATGGCCTCGACTCAGTGTTGCTTGAACAGTGAGACCAATCTAATTTCTATTCTAATCGAATTCACGCCGTTAATTTTCTAGTGTTCCGCCCAAAATAAATTACACATCACATCCAGGAACAGTTTGAATCCCGCTCGCTCTCCTGCAAACATTCGCATCATACCTTATTTTCGAGGATACATATCGGTAATCTTCTTCGCCATCAGTGGAAGTAACACACAGCGCAGAATTTTCATTCAGGGATAGTACTGCAAATTTTCCTCGCGATTTAGCACTTGTGGAACAAATTTTTCGCACCAGAGCAATTAGAAACGGAACAGCAAGGGGAACACCACGTCAATTGATGCAAGTACTTCGACACAGAACTCATGTGAGTGATCAAAGGTTTCTCACCGCGGGTTGAACACCCAGCGTGAATCGCAGTGACACTTTGCATCAGAAATTCGTTAAATACACGATATGGTTTCAGATGCATCACAGCGCAAAATAAATCATGGTGACTTCAACAAAAACCGCATACAAACCGATTTTTCAAGCATGAGATCTGAATCCTTTGACATTGCCAACACATGCGACTATAAACGCGAAATCGTATCTTTCTGCGAGATACGATTACTGTACATGAAAAAAAATGTACGGGATGTGTTCAAAGCAAAGAGGGACCGAACCACGGATTTCAGCTGGTCCATTGCAGCTGCTAGATTTAAAAAGGGAGATTTCGAATTTCTTTACTCATGTTGAGCGACGAGAGCAATAAGAAAAAATTGTTGACCTTGGCTCACCGTAATACTGTAGAGGATTTTAAGCACAAACTCGCCCAGCACTGCCTTGATTCGAAGCAAACGGAAATCAATCAATCTTCATTCCTACAACTCACAAAATTTTTGAGAAAACCTGAATTTCATCCACCTGTAATTGAAAAATAATAAATTTAAACTTTTTTCCAAAACAAAGTCGAAACATTTAAAAGAGAAAATTGGAAGCAGTTGATCGATGTCCAGCAACAGTTGAGCCAACTTTCCATATCTTCTAAATTTTTCCCTTATGAGTGGTATCTGATTTCCTCGTGCATGAAGTCAAATATTGCACACGTTATTTCATATGACACTTGGGCCATTTACGTGATAACATTATTGAAAATATGACCAAAATTTGAGCCAACTTTCCGTATTTTCTAAATCTTCTCCACTACGAGTGGTTACTAATTTTCTCGTGAAATCAAATACCGTATATTGCACTCGCCATTTCATTTGACATTTTGTCCATTTACGCGATAAAATTATTGAAAAGAGTGAAGTTCTCTTACATAACGCTTCGAAGCGTTATGTAAGGATCCAGAATTAAGTTTATTGGTTCTTCACTTTGAGTTCCTGTTGCATTCTGAATTACCTGCGGTGATTTTTTTTTCCGAAACACGGCATCGATTCTAGTCGATCAGACGACGAAGAAGTTGAAAACTCGCGCATGAGCAAAGGAATTATCAACAGAATAACCCCCCTCTGCTGCAACCTCCATCACGATTACGTTTCCGAACGAAGTCTCATCGTTTCCGATCGTGTTATCATCCGGATCATGCAAAGCCCTTTTTCTTCTTGCGTCACGTTCACGACAATGAGTGCTTCCTGCTCTGATGGTAACTTGAGAAAACATTGGGAAAAAGAGCACGGAAATGGGCTCATTTCGCTGGTGGAATCCCAGCCATGCCAGGAAGTGGTCATTCGCGTGGGTGTTCACAGGAGGGTCTCGTTAGTAGCCGTTCGCGTACCGTTGGCTACAGAGTAGTTCCGAGCACTGGCCCCGTTCCCGGCCGAGGATCCCGAAAACCCCGCGATGAAAAGTTCAGAGAAAGTTTGGCGGAATTGGCGCGACATGCCGCAATAAATGGCGAAGTAGATGGGGTGCGAAGCGGCGATGGTGCAGTTCATGCAGAGGATGAGGCAGTTGGCCACGTTGTAATCCATGATGGGCACCGACAACATGTTCACGATGATGTGCAGTGTCGTGACGACCCCGAGTGGGATTTCCACCACCAGGAACACAGTGACGACTATGTTCAGCATAAACGTCGTGGACTGCGAGTCCCGCATTTTCCTAGACTCGGGTTTGTTGTCTTTGATGAGCCGTTGCCTGTTCACTTCCGCCTTCCTCAGCGCCATAAAGAGCAGCACGTTCAGCACCACGAGTACAATGCAGGGCAACGTGTGCACGAACAACACGCGGAACAAGAAATAGAAGTTGAAGTACACGTCTTCGGATACGTATTGCAGCCAGTCCGGGGGCTCCATGACGCAGAAATCCCTGCACTCGCCTTCATAGTAAGTCTGTGCCACTACGTACTTGAAGTCCACGAATCGCGTCGACTGGTGCAGGAATGCGCAGACAAAGATCCCAATGACGGCCATTCGGACTTTCGGCATCGTGCACCACGTCCGCGCCGCAGTCGGATGACAAACATAAATATACCTCTGCGCCGCCAGTGCCACGGTCAACCAAATGCTCGCTGTGTGAAACAGGACCGGGAACACATTCTGCATCACCTCTGCCACGTAGCACGCTGCCACGGGTTGCAGGGGCTTGTAAGCATTGTCCAGGGTGTACTTGTAGAAGAACCATGGGGCCGGGAAGATGAGCTTCAGCATGTCCGCTACGGCCATGGCGAGCAGCACCATGTTCGTCGGTGTTCGCATGTGACGCTTGGAGAGCACTATGATGACCAGAGTGTTTGCCACTACCGTGATGACGACCAGCAACGGCATTAGATAGCCGTTGATCAGATGACCCGCGAAAGCCCCACAAGCGTCCCCATCGCCCGTCCGGTTGGTCGCGTTGCAATACTCCGCGTCGTCCACCAGCCCGACAGTGGGTGCGGTTTCGTAATCATCCCCCATAATGCCAGGGATCCCTTTAACAAATTTTCCACCTTTTGTACGATGAGCAAGGTTGAATAACAGTTTTCGACGGGGTTCCACTCGCTACATGGCGCGAGACGCTGTTGGCGATGCTCCAGAGAGTTCGAGGGTCTCTTGCTCCAGTTCAATGCCCCGAAATCAACCTTGCTTGCTCAAGTACCTCGTGGCAGCCGTGTGACAAAGCGCGTCCAAACCTGCGCCAAGAAACGGGCGAGACAAAAAAGGAGACAATTTAATGAAATACGCCAGACCTCTTTTCGGGAACGCGAGAGAACCCGTCATTCAAATTTCACTCTGCTAGGTCCTGCTGCTTGACCTTACCAGCGCGTCCTGTTTCATCACGTCCCCAGCGGCGGTTCCCCGACAATTTCCCCTAAACCGGTTAGCGTTGATGAAAAGTGTGGGTATTCTATTCGCGGCTCCGGAAAACGATTCGGGTATCTCGCAAAGAGATCTGGGCACTGGACTTTCCTAGAAAGCAGGGGCTCACTCTCACTCGTATACATTCGTGCTGGTACCCGGTGGTTATAGTGGATCCCTTGTCAGGTTTTGAGCAGGATTGCCGTTCTTTCAAGCATGCCCCCTGATTTTTAGACATGGAATTCTAGGTCTTTAATTTGCGGGAAAACGGCTGAAAACATCAGAAAAAAAGTAAAAGCATTCGACGTTCGATCAGTAATATTGAACTACTCAATTATCTAGAATAATCTATGAAAATTGGATGATAATATTTTTTTAATGTTATTCTGCTTCGAATTTTTCACAATGTCTTCATTTTTATCTGCGGTTGAGGCGCTGAGACTTCGTTGCGAAAAGTTACCCTACCACCATGTTTTATGAGGATTATTGCAATTTTTTAAATTGACCATGAAACATGAGTATGTTGCATTTTATGGCGGATAAAAATGTAGTGTTTTATAAAAACGAAAAGAGGTGACGCTTTTTTTCAAAGTCTGTACTTTGCTTAGTAGACGTGGGATTCTTCTTCGGAGGTGTAGAATATTTGCATGTAAAGCCAAGCATTCAAGTTTGATATCTTCGGATATACAGTACGCTTACCGCACGGTAATCCAACGTAAGACTGAAATTGTGTAAATATTGTAGATTCATTCCTCATTTTCTGCAACTGGATGTATTCCATTGATCCCCATACCTCGACTCAAGCATTGTTGATGACAGGAACGTTTAGCCTTGAAAAATGTGCTATAGTTTCATCGAGAACCGGAAGCCATTTTGGAAACTATGAAAACCCAGATGCTCTCATTTTACTCTACAGCGTTCCCAAGACACTGGCTCCATCGCTTTCCATAACTCCGTTTTTGCGAGATACCAGACGATTTATTGCGAGGAGAATGGAATTGACGCTGAAATCAACCTGCATCGCATTCTGGGACTAGTTTAAAGCTTGATTCATATCGCCTCACGTAGCGCTATACCTCGTTTTCTGCGCATTTCAGGCTCCAATTTTATCCCTTCGCAGTTCAGTTCAATGAGGGCAATTCTTTTTCCAGGAAACACTACGTGATTGAATAAAGTCGCGCCGCTTTCTTTTCCCCCCAAATATAACTTTTGACGAAATCGCGAGAGAAACAAGTTCAACAATGCCAGGATAATAAATCTGGGAACGTCGTTCAAAAGCTCACGCAGTTCTGCGAAAAAGCCGCGCACAATTTTCATGAATAAAGACGGGACTGTCTGGAATCAATCACGTTCATAAATTCGCTGCATTTGAGAAAGTACAAAAGAGGAAGAAGTAACCCGCAAACGAATTGTATACTGAGATTAATTTGCTTTGTCGAAATTGCCAATTCGGATTACGTTTTTACGGCTAATGAGTGTAATGACACATAATTCCGACATTAAAAATAACATTTGAAAATATAACCATCGTCTTGAATGCGTGAGCGCTATAAAACGGCAAAACGTTTTGATTTGTCAGTTAGCTCTCTTGGGGATATGTTGGGCTAGAATGTATTATTGAATTATATTGTATTCACCGTTTTGGAATGCCCCCTTAAAGATGCACTGTGAGGCAACGCGTCGTGTGTGATTCTTTTATGCAATCTACTGAAAATAGCGGACTTTTTAAGGCAAAAAATATATTTTGAACCATGCAGGTCTACTACATTATTTGCGAAAATTTTGAGAAAATACTGTAGTCAATGTCATTTTTTTACTTTTTCAGTGGATGTTTCTTCCCGAGTAGAAATGAATTTCTGAACAACGTTTCTCATTTCAACATAGATAATTTATATCAGTTACAGATGCATAGTGTAAAACTGGAATATGTCCCTAGGGCGGTAGGGCCACATTTGGAGCATTACAAAAGTTCTACGTAACTATTAGAACACTTGGGGTTTCGCATAGTTTTCGACGACTCATTTTTGCAGTCTTTGCAAACAACGCAGCCATGAAATTGCTCAGCAGACTTTTCAAACAACGCAGCCATGAAATTGCACAGCAGACTTTTCAACCAGCCCATAGACGTACGCAACCTCAGGTGCGTTCTGCCGTCTGGGCTCAAAAGTTTCGCTATACGTAGGTCTAAAAATTGAAATTAATTAATCAGAAGGACTTGGTACCGCTTTCAAACTTTTCAAAGCCAGGCAGATTCTGATTGAACCGAGAACCCGTTCGATCGCCGTAAACTTCCTCATCAAAGAAAAATACCCAGTAATGAACTCAGCGTGCTTAAATGCTCCCACTCGGAGCGCAACTTTCATTGATCATCCGTTTTTCAAAGTGGAGGGAATTGTTCCGAGGATTCCATAGTTCCCGGAGATTATTTTTCCAAGTTTGAATGCAATTTTATGCATTCTTGAGCTCTAACAACGCAGAGCGCCTTTTTCATTGAGCTTCGGTAATTTCCTGGGAAGCGATTATCTCGCAGAGGTTCTCAATCTGTGTTCTGCGAAGCCCAAAAAGATCTTCCTGAACTTCACTGTTCCTCAACGCATGCTCAAAAAATATTGGAGGAAATTTTTTTTACATAAGATAAATGAAGAGGTCCAGAAAAGTGTTGAAAAGAACTTGTGTGTTCATATTCTAAATTATGAAGAATATTTATGTGATTTTGTCATTTGTTTGCCCAAAATCATGCATTCGTAAGGCACATGATTCGCCGTGGTAAAGTTGTACAGTATTTCAAAAGGGATTCCGCATTCAGTAAAAATATATATTTCGTAAAATAAAAGCGATCCTCGGGTCGACAAGACTGATCAACGTTGAATTCTAGTGATACTTCGTCGCGATTCTCTGCTGGAGCCATAATGAGCTTAGGTTGATGGAAAGGCGTTCCGATTGGCCAATTAGACCAAGTTATCCAGAAGCCACGGATGTTCCACGACAGCCTCTGAATCCCTCGAGAGTCGGAGCTATCATGAGATTGCACACGAAATTGGTTCCGCGATCTTTCTCTAATCCGCTATATATTCCGAACATTATTGCGGGAGATTCGCCCTCGGATCCGTTCGCAAATGAGACGGTGATGAAGTGGGTGCTGGAGATCGCGGTGGATCAGCGCTGGTATGAGGGTTCAGCTGCAATTCCCGCGACCTGGGTTTCAGCATGGCACCGCGGGGGTTGGGGTTGTCGACGAAAAGATCGCCTCTGTCACTGTTCACTTTCTAGAACGTTCAATATGACAGCAACCACCCCCCCCCCATCAATATTTGGATATTTCTTTTGAACTTGAGGAAACATTTCTCCTTGGAAGACAAGAGCTGTGATATTGTGCAAACATTTGACTATATTCACGCAAGGAAAAGGTAACTCTTTTTGTCCGGAAAAATGACCCGAGAAACCTCGGTGTGACCTATATACAGTACTCGAGATAGACCACAGTGTTGTGCTAAGTTTTCCCACTACACAGATTGTATAGAACACGACACTTCTGCGTGTTTTGAATAAGTGGTGCCTGAATTAATCAAGCCTAAATTATCATCATCTGAACCTTGAACACGATTTTTTAAAGATGTTCCATGAGTTGAGCAGCCCGAACTTCAAATCACTGCTCTCCAACTGGGTGGTAATATATATTTCAGTCCAATCCGTTTCATGTTCACAAGAACCAACGACAATACAGTACGATTATTTGCTCTTCCTTTACTCCTGTAAATCTTGTTCAATTTTTTTGTCGTGTGAGATGCATTTCTCAAAACGTATGTCTTCTCAGTTTCCAATCAATCCTAGTTATGCATAATTCGAGGATTGCAAGTGGAATTTTTTACTGTTTGTCGAATGTTTTTTGATTCGAGATGATCAAATACTTTATCTGAGCATTCTTCCCGCTCTTATTGCGACTAAAAATCTGCACTATGCCAAGCGTGTGCACCGGCGACGAAAACCGACGACGCAATTCGAGTTGTACAAAATATTCGTAATTTCCTTTCCAGGTTACGACGCAGTCCAGCAAACACCCCTTCGGGACGCGAGCCAGTAGTTAGGTCGGATAAATGGTCGTAGCAATTCCGTGCGATGAGGCAATAAACCATTATTACAGAGCGATTTGACTGCCAAGTGACTTTTTTTTATTTGCTCCTGGAACCTTCACCGAAGCGCAAAAAAGGAACGGAAGTGTTCTCCCCGAAAGGCAGGTTTCCTCGGGCTACGTTTAATCGAGTTGTATGGGCACCAAGATCCGGGAGATCCTCTCTCCTCTCTCTCTCTCTCAAGAGACCCCGCGGTGGAAGAAAATCGCGTTGCTGTTGGGATTGTCTTTTGCAGTCATCCCGGATATCCTGGTGAAAGGTAAGTGCTAAAATACCATGGTATATATATATATATTTTTTTTTTTTTCCTCTCGGATCTTTAATTCGCTGGCGCCGTGATGAGGAATCCCTAGGGGAAAGTGCTCACGATCCGACGAACCTGCCCTTCATTCATTTCCGCCGGGATTCTGGACCCCCAGCAAGCGTGCGAATGCATGAGCAGCTCATGGGAACGCACTTGAGAGGCGCGGCCTGATTTATCGGCCCAGA